AGAGAGAGAGAGAGAGAGAGAGAGAGAGAGAGATTTTCTGCAGTATCAGTCACATGGAGTTACGGAGGGTGCACTCAGTCTAGTCTAAGTCCAGTACTATATTTTATTAACATTTCTGAACCCATTCAAAGAAGAACCTGTCGACACTACAGTATCGCTGGGACCGCTGCCTAAACTGTTCAAGCAGGATGAATCGCTGTGATACCCGGAACCAACCTGCATAATGTTATCCTCAGAAACGCTACACACAACCCAAGGTTCGTTAGGATTCCAGGAGAAATCGCTAATCTTTGCGGTATGACCTCCATGAATGAACAGCAGCTCTGGTGGTCCATCCTGAAAATTCATTTAATTGCTGAAGAATTAAACACTTCTCTATGCGTACAGCCCGGAATTGATCCTCACCTCAGCATCCTCAGGATTCTGCTCTTCACCGATCTTGGACAAATCCCACACGTGGAGCCTCCTGAACACTTCTGAATCTACTGAAAATATCACAAGAGGAAAACCTCGCAGAACAAACCTGTCAGTCCCACTGCTAGCCAAAATGGTTTCGTTATGAGGACTCCACTGCACTTGGAAAATTTCATCCTTGTGCGACTCGAACGAGTGCAACTTGAGTTTCATATTTCGGAGATCCCAGAGCGCCACCGTCTACAAGAATAAGCTCATTGGTGAAATTGGTGACTTTCATAGCAAAGAAGTGGTGGAAGCTAGTAGAAAGAAAGTACCTTGTCAGCACTTCCAGTAGCAAGGATGAACTCCGAATATGGATTGAAGGATAGGCAATTGACTTCAGCAGAATGTGCTTCAACGGTATGTGCCGGCTGGTTGCCTCGAATATCCCAGATCATCAATTTGTGATCGTCACCAACGGAACCAAATACTGCTTCATGCAGGACATGCCATGCAACGTCTTCGACCACCTTGAAGTAATAAAATCATTGGACGAGCAAAGGCACATCTTCTGCGTCAACGCTTGCAAGCTTCTTCTCAAAACTGCGCTGACCCACAAGAAGAAAGAAAACCAAGAACCAACCTGTGTATGTCCCTTGAAAATAGTTTTTGCATCCAAATATCCAGCGCTAATTTCATTTGCTTGGACATCCCATAGGCATACCTAAGTGAGAAAGGCGGTTTAAAGTGTGGTAGAACCTCCCCGCAGGAAAGGTTTATCACGAAAAGAGCGCATTCATATACAACACCACAGAAGAGTTGGAGAGCTCGTGGAAGAATCGCGGAACGCGATAGATGCACGCACAACCTTTTTCGCAACTTTCCATAAGCAAAAGGGACGAAGTAATTGTAAGAACGTGTTCTATCTCATTCTTTCCACGATATATTCGGACACTTCACCGGCGTTGTATTTGAACGCGCCTCAAACCTCGGGACGATTCTTTCCGAATATTATTAGGCCGCGCTCATACACGCGGAATCCGCGGAATTTCCAAATCGATACGTATACTATACTTTCTCGCGAATTCAGCGGAATTTGTGCGTATGAAAGCGGCCTTAAAAACGACAGAAGTAGGGTGTAGAGAGAAATAAAGAGATGCAGTACTCACAGTCATATCATCGGAAGCTGACAAAATATGGCCTTGTTTGTTAGGGTTCCATGAAAGTCCGTAGCCTTCCTTTGTATGTCCGCGTAGACGTAATTGAGGTTTGCACTGATTGTCTTTCGGAACAGAGGAGTGTTTGGTGTAGTCGAAAACGAAAAACCTGCAATGAATAGCACAGGATCTCTGTGCGGTAAAGAAAGTATTCCAGGAACAAAAAAAAACACTCAGTTGTTGACCATGCTCAGAACAAGGAGTACTAGGCTTCGTTCAGGAGGCTCGGCTCTCGCAGATAGTCAACCCCACGCAATGAGCTAGCGCTATCAGCAAGGTAGGCCACCTTAGCGCAACTCACCCGAGGCATTCGAAATCGGAGAAACAGCTTTATTCTTAGAAAGGTAGGAGATGAAGCGAAACCAATGTGAGCTACGAGATGTGGATTTTCGCCCAAGTTTAATGTGGAATGAGCCCTGGCAAAGCTTAGACCCCGCAGTGACGCGCTGTAACGCGCGTCGACGCGCTACAGTTGCAGAAGCGCTCCAAAGGTATAGACGAGAGCCGCAGGTGGGGTGGGGATCGGCCTGTGCGTTAAGGGAGTATGGGGGACACGGAGAGGACGTGCAGCTAATCCGTCTTAGGACACTTGTCAACCGCGGAGCCTCCCTCCTCCTTCCCTTTTCTTCCTTTTCCTTCTCTCCTTCTCTCTTCCCTCCTCCTTTTCCTTCTCCCTTCAACTGCTGGACCAGTAGATGGGATGGAAAAATACCTCTGGCCCCTCGTAGCGAGAACATGTCCGGTTGACAAGAGCCCTAAAACCCGACCTAATCATGCAGACTGGTATTGATCGACAGTGGCCGCCAGAACTTTGGGGGAGTAAAGAAGTGAAGGAGGGTACCACTTTGTGTGAAGATAACGCCTACTCTACTGGTATCCTATACACTAAAAAAGCGGCAGAGACCGATTGATTTCTGCCCGAGCCTGGGTTCGCGTCTATAGCTTTGTAGCGCTGTTCCAAACGTAGCCGTCGATGCGCAACATCGCGAAGTCTGAACGCTGAGAATAGCGCCCACTTTGATGCCTTTATTGTCATGAATCACGCAGAATTACTGAAACGTTACCTCAGCTTTGGGGGACTTTGTTGCAATTATGACTGGGTTCTGTGGCATGTATCGAGCACGGTTGACTTCGCCATCGTGATTAATTTTTATCTCAGTCTCAACTTTTCCCGTGATTGCGCCAAATCCTCCGAACTCTGAAAAGAACGACGGTGAAGGATACAAATGGGGACGGTTGAAGTGAAAGAATGTGCTGTTCCTAACTGCTTCACTAACCTCCTTTTTCAGTGTCGTACCGCGAAGCGTCGAATTGTGCATCATCCGTGGGAAGTTGGATTTTACTTATAAGAAGATGATTTTGTTCATCTGAGGTGTGAGTTCCAAGGATGAGACGTTGAGTGGTGTAATCGCCGTTCTCTGCCTAAATGGGTTATAAACTAGCGCACTATTGACCACAAGCAATTCCGAAGTCTTTGAAAAAATGATTCCACTGCAAGCTTACCTTTTGTATATCCGGTAACCACTGCACAGTGAGACTTGGCCATTCCAATGCATGTGTCATTACCATATCATAGAGAAAAGGCGTATTTTTCTTCCATATCTTGTACTCTTCATTGATGACTTTCTCCTCCATGCTACCGTCACTGGTTTCCACCATGGCTGGAACATGAAACATCAATTGAAAAGTAGAAAAATTTTCTAGTTTGGAATTGTCAGTCAGAAAAAATACAGAACATTCGCCGATGATTCACGTCAAAACTGTGTTCACCGCCAGCGTTCAATAGCGGAAGAACTGATAAGATTTTGCAGCCTTCACACACAAAGGTTCCCTGGAACCCGCAGACCCCACAGTGCGCGGAAACAGCGGAAAAGAATTCATGCGTATCGATTTGAAGAATCTGCAGATATCACGGAATCTGAAGAAAGGGGGATAAACAATCAGTTTATCATGTCTTCTTCAACTGTTTCGCAGATCCTTCCAAATAAGCGCATTCTGCGAATTCCGCGGAATCTATGGATCCTTTGAAGTGTGGATTTTTCCGCAACTTCTGCAGTTTCTGTGCAACTTTTGCGTATGGACGCGATCTAGGTGGTAGAAAGACAAACGCTAGGCAACGAGCAATTCTAGGGAATTTATTGGGGCACTCGGTCAACACAGCGACACTTTGAAGTTCTGTAACCCCGCGAAACTACGAAATGTCACAAGTTTATTTTTAATATTCCGATTCGGATTTGTTAGGCATTGTTCACAGTCTCCAGGCCCTGACGAAACGGCGGTTGGGAGAAAAGCAATAAATAGTCATCGATCGGAGAATCGCCCAACCGCCCAACCGCCGCGGTTGGGCGGTTGGGCGGAAAAGCAGTAGATGTGTATCGATTTTTCGCTGTGCGCGAGAAAACGTCGCGTGTTGGGCGAAACGCCCGTCAATACATACTAAAACCCTTTCGCCCAACCGCCAGGCGATATGTATCGAGAGCTTTTTGCCGAACCGCCGCGTTTCAGAGAAACGCTAGACCGCAGAGTTTAAACAATGCGTCCTCAGGACGAATGTTGTCTAAGGCCGCGTTCATAGCCGAATCTGAAGACGTGGCGGAAAGTGAAGAAAAGCATTACATACGTATCGATTTGAAGAAAGTGACGGCATTTCTTCAGATTCGGCACGTCTGCAGTTTCGGCACTTCTTCAAATCAACACGTATCCATTGCTTTTCTTCACTTTCGGCACATTTCTTCACAAACGCAAGCTATGGCGCTTTTAGACAACATCTTGAGTGTAGGCCAGTTGTTCACACTCTGCGGTCCAGCGTTTCTCTGAAACGCGGCGGTCCGGCGAAAAGCTCTCGATACATATCGCCCGGGGGTTGGATGAAGAGCCTGATGGTCGGACGAAAGGGTTTAAGTATCGACGAGCGTTTCGCCACGTTTTTCGCCTTCGACAAAACGCTAGCTCCATCGCGGTGGCGTTTTTCGCCAGCGAAATCGATACACATCTACTGCTTTTCGCCCAACCGCGGCGGTTGGACGGTTGGGCGATTCTCCGATCGATGACTATTTATTGCTTTTCTCCCAACCGCCGGGTTGCAATCTGTGAACAATGCTGACGCGAAGGAACGTTTGCGTGCATAGTAGGGTGAGGATTTGCGGGAAAAGTGGGGGGAATTGCCCCCCTGCGGGTCAAGTAATTCTCTAGCGCAATATATCCAGCTGAGCAAAGTAGAGGAAGAAAAGAAGAAGAGGGAAGACAGGAGGAAGAGGGAGCTAGAAAGGAAGTACTGTGGAGGCTGATCAGATATCCGCCTTCCAGCTCCCCATTGATTTAGTAGTAATCTCACCCCCCCCGCCGCCTTGACTTCGTCAGTATATTCGTGTTAAGCAACTATTTTTTACTTTTTTTTGCATTTTGTGGATACATGTCTTACGACAAACAAAAACGTGGGCCCTAGGAGAGCTTCACTAAGGGCTTTGCAAAAAGATTCAGCACGTTGACTGGATTAAACGAAGAGCCTAGTCTCTCACATTAACGTCCCCTCCCCTCATTCAATATTACGACAAACTTAGGGCTTAGAAATATAGGGCAACGTGACTTAGATACCCGGTGGGCGTGGCCAAAATAGGGCGAGGGCTTGACGTGGACGGATATAATTAGGCTTCAGCGCTTCTTCCTGAGCTTGGAGACGATAATTTCCTTCTTATTAAACAGCTGTGTGTTTCTACTGCTTGAACTAAGAAGTTCCGAGAGGAAGAATTAACTTAGATTGGAATTTATGCTTTTTGCAAAGGTATACATTAGGCAGAGGCGAAAAAGTGGTTATCAGGTCTTACGTATGATCATGAAATCAACATTAAGCACACCTTGAAGACAATAGGAACGTTTACCTTGTAAACGGTGCTCCCGTCTAATATCTATTGCGGCACAAATTTGGGAAACACCGGTCCATTTCGAAGCCTTGCCCCGTGGCCACGCCCACCCGTGCACGCACCCGAAAATCACCCATCACCCCTTCACCGTTAGCATTTCAGGAACACCACGACTTGTGGGCTCCACATGGTGTTTTTGAAAAGAAAGGACTAATATAGCCAGGGCACGTCAGAATTTGAGATCCCCAGATAGAAAGGCCGATTTGGGAGCTGGCAGGAAGAGAATGGAGACGTATTTGAAAAAACCGTTTCGCGATTGTTGGTTTTTCTGTTTCGCGTGCACAATTCACCACCTTCTCCTCACCGGCTCCCTCACTCGAAGGCAATTTCTCTGAAGAATTATGAGAAAATGAAGGAATCTCAAAAAAAGGAAACGCCGGAAAAGTATGGAGGCTTCGGAAGATTGACTGAGGGAGATCGTACGAGAGGGATTTGGGAGGGGTCGTATCTTGTGAAGAAATTCTTCAACAGCAGGACGTGCCCTGACTACAGCAAACAGAATATTGGACACCGCAAAGCAATGCAACGGGTAGGAAACTCAAGGAGGGAACGAGAAGAACGATTGGAGGGGCGAGTTCGAACGACGCCGATTTGCCGCGCTATTCTCATAAAGTCGGTCGCGCAACGATAGGCCTTGGCACAATGCCAGGCCAAAGGTTAATTGAAAATCTTTTCAATTTTTTAAATGTTTGTCTGTGACAGTGTGAATGTTTTTCTCTAAAATAGCGCTGGGACTTTCCAAAAGAGTTTTTACTTCTGTTCAACATGGTTTACTCGGTCTATTTTTCTGAGAGAGTGACGATTTCAGGTAATAAAAAACATGGAGGAGCTTTTGGAAGCGATTCGCAATCCATTCTTCATTGTCTATGTGTCGGTGTTGTTGTCATTTTGCGTGGTAAGTATTTATATTCCAATAGCTTGTCTCGAAATGCCATCATTATTCCGTATTTTTTAATCTTTGTTGTAACTAGGGGAGATGTCACTGCGATTAGCAATATTCATAATAATTGGAGTGAAGAGAAGCTTCATTGTATCTAAGCAGCCGTGAAGGCAACTATATTAGTCTCCAACTTCTCAATTCGTAGAACCTCGGCATCGTTGTTATTTGTGTGTAATTCTTTTGTGCCTGCGAGGTTGTTAGGTGGAACTGTTTATTAACGGCCTAACGTTTCGACCAGATCGTCGTCCTCGGAGGCCTGAACATAGCTCAAGATTTCTAATTTGCTTTCTAAACCGTCAAACGCCTCGTCCCCCTAGCGTTTCTGACGAAACTTCAAGGAGCAACCGAAAACCGTGAGTTAGTTGTACATACGGGAGATCTTCGGTTGTTCCTTGAAGTTTCGTCAGAAACGCTAGGGGGACGAGGCGTTTGACGGTTTAGAAAGCAAATTAGAAATCTTGAGCTATGTTCAGGCCTCCGAGGACGACGATCTGGTCGAAACGTTAGGCCGTTAATAAACAGTTCCACCTAACAACCTCGCAGGCACAAAAAGAATTACACACAAATAGCAACAATATTGACTCCGAATGCTCCCACAGTCTGCCGTTTTCTTACTCGCGCTTTTGTCTCGTGTGGGGTGTGTAGGTAAGTGTTATGGTTATTTCTCGGTGTGCTGTGCCGGAATCTCATTGGGAACCGCTGTACACTTACTGTGGCCGTACAATGGGTTTCAATTCACACGAAGTACTTGTGATGCACTGCAGCTTTCAGAAACACATTGACTTCCAGGCTTCTTTGGGAGTCTTTAGTTTCCTCAGGAGAAACTGGAGAGTCTTTCGTAGTTATAACTTCGGGGTGATTTTAGTGGAGTTAAGCTTTGGGGCACTGTTCGGCTTAAGGGACATCTTACGTTGTCGACTAAATCCAGACCCGAAAATTGATGGAAGAGTTTCTCGAGATAACACACTGCTTTTGCGATAGCTTACGGTCTCGTTCGCTGCCGGATGGTGGGACTTTTTCTCTAGACGGATGAGGTTGACACGGCGCCAAGTCGGTTTTCACCAGCTGTTAAGCGAGCAAGCGACAAGACTGTATCATTTCATTCATCGCTCGTTTTTCACCAATCATTGTCACTTAGCCCCTTCAACAGCAGGTGAACGTATTTGGCGCCGTGCCAAACCCAGCCTCACTGACACGCCCTATCACCTGGAGCGGAAAAGACTAGTTGTCATGCTTTGTGGGAGCAGGACGTGCTTCCTTCAACATCGATCGATGGTCACAGTTCCTTTGCTTCGTTTTGCGAATTGCAGCGAGAGCTGTTCGCAGGTCATTTTATGGTGATGTGGGGACCCCTTTTTCTATTTCTTTGCATAGATCACCTTTACTCAGTCCTAACGCTCAAGCCATTCCGGACTTCAGAGTGGGTAAGAGTACGAGCAAATGATGCGAATAATCCAATGAAAAACAATCGGGACGCGTGGTCTCACAGAATTGTGAGCCAATTGTCCCCGGAAACTCGCCCTTAGGCCGCGTTCACATACGCTGAATCCGCGAAGAGGCGGAAAAGCAAAGTTTGCGTATCGATTTGGAAATTCTGGCAGTGTGCGGAATCCGCGTTTGTGAACGTGACCTTAGTTTTTTTGGGTACAGATTCAGGTGATAGCGCTTCTCACCAGTTCTCATTGACGGGCACTGTAAAGACGTGAAGTTACGAAATGGTACGCAGCGAAGCTTGTTCAGGCCATATTGAGAAGGACTGCAATCCCTTCTGCTAATAATAGAGCCATACATATTACCACAGCGGAGTTCACAGATCTCACCATTGTGAGGACTAGCGAGCCGGCTGAGAGCAGAACCTTTGTTGATATGATTACAAGCTATGGAAGCGCCTATTTTTTATGTTTGTTCAAATGTCATTTTACTGATTTGGCGCTATGTAAACTGGTATATTATAGGTCAGCGGAAGTCAACTAGGCGACAAGGTCGAATTGGAATTTCAAGCATTTCGTCTTCAACAGTACGAGCTCAACGGCAACGTCATAGGAAGTAAACATTTCCGAGTACAGTATGAAGCAGTGTCGCTGAATGCGAAAGCGCTGAGGAAGTTTGTAGATTTCCTTATTCACTCCTCTATCTGCATACTTCCCGTTTATGCTTTGCATTGCAGATGTGTAGTGGCATCATGGCGCGATTTAACTGGTCGGCATCTCGACGAATTAATGGAAACCACTGTCGGAGCACTGCTGATCATAATCCCGTCAGATTTGGATGCTCTTTCACCGGCCGATAGAACGGTATGGACAATATTTTACATTATTTATGAGTCGGTCAATATATTTTCATTGAAGTTGTTACATTATCTCGGAAGGAAGAGTGGTAGAGTCCTGAAGCTCTTTCAGATCCCACAAAAATAGAATGCCTGGCCAAAGGTAGCTGACTTCTACCATTTGGTTTAATCACATATTTGCTTCTCTTTTCCGATTTAATATCTCTGACCGTTTCGGCTTTTCGGATACTTGCTTGGAGATTATTTGTATAAACGCATTTTTGATACTTCTGATCTTTCGAATCTTCACTCCATTATCTCCCTTGTAGGTGATTCCTCCATTAAATCCATGTGGTGTACACTTGTTTTCCTCAGCAATCCGCGACAAAAAAAGGTAAGTGTATGGAAGTTTAGTGCGGTCTGTTGTGTTAGGAAACACAGAAAAGCCTTTTACCTGCGTGCTTTAAATTCGAAACTTTCTCTTTTATCTTTCTTCATGCGGGTAAATGGGTGTAGAAGCAAGTGGTACGCATATCATGTGCGTGGCTCGGCGGCCAAATCCCGCTTCGGCTCCCGCCCACGCCAACCAAGCCTTCTACCCCCTTCCGGGATGGTAAATGGCATGGGATTAGTCTTCGACGATAAAACCCTTCAGATGGCCCCCTAAGCCACTGTACTGCTACGTCGCATTCAATAAGCGACCAAGATTCTGAATAGAAGTAGAACGCTTGCCCCACCCCAAAAAGAAATTGATCAACGGTGAAGACTTTATCCTTTTATTATATCACTTGCAATTCTTCATAAAAGCTTGCTCATTTAGCTGTTCATGGAACTTGAACAGAAACTTGCAACAGCACGCACTGATCTCGCTGTGTACGTTTCGCATTCATCTCCGGAGGCCAATACTATCCTCAGCGATGTTCAGTCGGCCTCCGCTGTCAGTAAGTCAGCCACTCAACAGTTGATCAGTTCGATCGCGGCGAACACTTTCCAGGTAGAGCACAACTTTTACTTGCATCCATTACTTGCACATATTGTGTTGTAGCTGGGATATGACTAAATCTGTTTTAGTTCACTTCGACCGGATCGCCATCCACGACTCCATTAACTTACAAGCCTAACAATATCATCGTGAGTTTCACTTCCAATGTGATTTCTTTATCGCTAATTAGTGAAAGTAAATCATATGCGATTGGGTGTTGGAGGAAACCTGTTCGCTGTAGTCAGCGCTAAAAGTTGCAAGTTGCAGCGTTTCCGCCTTGAAGTTGCAAGAAATTCATCTTAACAGCATATCTTACTTTGTTTTTCACCTATGGCTCGGCGGCTTCATGGCTAGGTGTTAGTCTTTCACATATTGAGTGATATTCTGCGCTCCGTTAGAACCGCATTTGCACTTCGTGATCCGATAGTTTAAATCGCACGATCCAAACGCTCGGGTGATCGGACCACGCGATCGAAACTATTGGCTCGCGAAGTCTGAACGTGGTCTGATGGTGAGTTAAGGCGACTTTGGAGCGAAATCGCTAGCATTTGGAAGCCCCGCGCCACACTCGCTAGTGGTGTGGAGTATTTTGGCGCCAGCACTGTAGCGCGGGCGCAGGAGGTTTCAGGCGAGCGGATGTGATATTCGTATTCAGGAAGTCAGACAACCCCTGCGAACAAATTTTCAGCGAATTTGGTAATTTAAGATATTTTGGCGCCGGCGCCTGTGGCGCGGGCACGAGGAGGTTTCGTGCCTAGCGGATGTGATATTCACGTTCAGGAGGACAAACTACCCAGGCGAGTAAAATTTTCAGCCAATTTTGCCAAGGCAGAAAAAAGTCGGTCAAAAACTGGCATGTTTTCGGAAGATTGGGTTAGTAAAGGATAAATAGTGCCGAAACGGCTAATAATGAAATTTAACTAGAAGCCTGACTCAATAGTTTTGTAGCGTTTCAAACTTCTTCTGTTCAGTGACTGCAAGTTTTCGCTGCTGTTCTTGTTTCGGGTGACCAAAAGAATGCTGGTGGCTTAAACCATTTAAGGACGCGACCCTGGTGCTAGGTCTAAATATGACGGCAAGCGTTAGCTCCAGGTTTGAGTCCTGGCTGGAGTCAGTCTTTTGCTCATAACATGGAACTGTTATGATGACTTTCTATTGGCCCTTCTTAATTATTCGGATTAAGATCGCTTGGGGTGAATATTTTCGCAATGTAACACCACGGGTTTACTAGTTTGACAGCGATAAGAACTTAACGTTAAAGTTCTGAGAAGTTGCTACAAGCGTAGCGTCGAGTTCTGCATAGCGATTTCTGAATCGTTGTTGTTTAAGGGCCGTCTGAGCAGCAGTGAACGTTCCGCTCCAACAATTGCTTTTGTTGCTCACTACGATTCTCATGCAGCATTTCCCGTATGTTTCTCCATTGGAATTAAGACGGATTATTAAATTTGATTTTTTAATTCCGTGTATGACACTTCATGACGACTTTTTAGGGTGCAGCTGTCGGAGCTGATTCAAATGGCAGTGGAGTAGTGGTTTTACTCGAGCTGCTTGCCATTTTTCGAAAGCTCTATGAGAAGCCATCAACGAGACCTCCTTTCAATTTAGTTGGTTTTTATTCTCATTTTCTGTATTATTTATACCAGTCGGATCGCCCGGCTGACGCCGAGCTCTCCTCCTTCTTGCCGTTAAAATAAAGCAGTCGGATCATCCGGTTGACACCGATCTCTCCTCCTCTCTCTTCAGCTCGGCTTCCGCCGAGCTGGCCTGGCTTCGCCAGGCGCGCTCCATAATTTTAACGGAACTTTTTCAATAGTGGGCTGCTCATACGGCGCTGTAGTGATCGAATCGTAACAGATAGAGCAAGGCTTGGGATCCTGCACTACTTAGCACATGCTCCTATTTGCAGCAGGGGTGTGGCCCGCGCCATAACGCCCTTACAATACATAAATCCCCCCCCCCCCATCGTCGGTGGACATCGACATTATATAGAAGGATAGTGGGATGAGTTCATTTTCTAGCGCTATCAGAGGAGTGATGGCTTAAAGGAAATGTTCACACACTAAGCCTTCAATACTTGGCAGTATAATAATGAGAGATGTAATGAAATGGCCCTTATCCTTTCTTATCAATTGATAAGATTGTCTGTCACCCGTCATTAGTTTCCTATCACTAAAGCTCTATAATTTGGTAGTGTAAAGGCCCCAACACTTTGACTGAACAACAACGGCTACCCTTATCAGCCCTTACAGCTGTTATCGCCTCCTGTCACCTGCCATCGATGTCCCCATCTCCCACTCTATATCATTTTCTGAGGAATTGTTCACACTCGCGGTCCAGCGTTTCTCTGAAACGCGGCGGTTCGGCGAAAAGCTTTCGATACATATCGACTGGCGGTTGGGCGAAGAGCCTGGCGGTTGGGCGAAAGGGTTTTGGTACGTATCGACGGGCGTTTCGCCAAACCGCGACGTTTTTCGCCTTCGACAAAACGCTAGCTCCATCGCGGTGGCGTTTTTCGCCAGCGAAATCGATACACATCTACTGCTTTTCGCCCAACCGCCCAACCGCGGCGTCGGGGCGGTTGCGGCGAAAGCAAAAGAAAAGCAAAAAATAGTCATCGATCGGAGAATCGCCCAACCGCGGCGGTTGGGCGATTCTCCGATCGATGACTATTTTTTGCTTTTCTCCCAACCGCCGTTTCGTCAGGGCCTGGAGACTGTGAACAATGCCTGAAATCAACGTCTAGCTGATGCTGTGTCACACGTTATGATTATGTAGTTACCTTACCATTCTAACTCCCCTTATCAAATCTTATCAGCTGCCCCTTTCTTGTCACCCCTCAATAACAATCGTGTCCCATAGCCTATACCATACCTTGGAACCAACGTCCCACTGTTGCTGTGACCCGCGCTATGGACTCGGTGCCCCTCCCCTTCTGACGCCTCTTATCAGATCTTATCAGCTGATATCACTCCCTGTCACCCACCAATAATGTTCCCGTCACAGCCTCTATATCACTGCTTGGAATCAACTTCCTACAGCTACTGGGACCGGCGCTATGAATTTCGTGACAGACAGACACACACACACACACACACACACACACACACACACACACACACACACACACACACACATAGCCGATTATATAAAGAAGGATCGTACAGTGACGATGATGCAGCTAGGGGAAAAGCGACCACTCTCGGCTCTGTACCCTTCTCTCAGAAAGGCTCAGGCTCAGAGCACAAGCGACCAGAGTCGCCAAGGGCCCGCAGAGAAGGTATAGTCTTCAGCGAGCCTAAGCCTTGATTAGAGTAAGAGATAAGGAGGCGCTAGCTAGTGGTTTCTCACCTCGTAACTACGTTGGTGGCTACTATTCTCGCTGTGGGCTTTCAGTGATCCACACGTACAACTTGACCACTAATTCTCTCCTTCAAGGTGTTTGTGTGGACTGCAGCAGGAAAATACAATTATCAGGGCGCAAGGCAATTCATCGAAGATTTCCAGAGTGATAATTCTGGTGAGCTGTTACTGTTCTCCTCATTTCGACTTTGTTATATTAGTATTGAAATCGGTCATGATGTTTGTAATCACCAAAACTGGAATTCTCTAGATGATAACCGGCTTGAGCTCGCAATTTGTGTTGAAGCAGTTGGAGGTGCAGGACCATTGTGGATGCATGCATCGAAGCAGCCTGCTGATGGATCTGCTGCAGGTAAATACTTTATTTTTGGAACCCTTACAGTAATCCCCTTTTTGATACTAGTGAGATCTTGGACGGATTCATTCAATGGCTATCCCCATTTAGTTGTAGTACAATGGCAAGAAACTCCTTCTATCGATTGATAGAAGGCTTTTATGATAGCATGAAAACGTTGATTTGTGCATTAAGTAGGCCAACAGAATAGTGTATAGGACTAGTCGCGCTAATGATTTCACGATTCTGTTTATGAGCAGAGTGCGTGGTGCAGTCCAAAAAAGACCGATCAACTATGATCATTAGTGTTGGGTAAACTATAAAAAAGTTTCTATTGGCAGACTAAGGAACTTTTCTCGATCTGACCTAGTACTGTGCATCGGGAACTGTTAACCCAACCAGTTTCTTGAGATGCTGGTAATGGAGCTAAGTGTTTGGCGGGAAAATCGCATTCAGAAACCCTGCACCAAAATATTTTCTTGATGGTGTCAGGATTTTCTGACTGATAATGGACATCCTGCAAATATTTCCAAACTAGGGATCTAACAACTGTTTCGTTAGGCAGCATTTCGTTACAGATCGCCTTCTTCGACGTCTTCGTCTGGCCGCGCCCAACCAAAGCGTGGAACTAGTCACAAAGAAGATTAGCATCAATCAGCCGTCTGCATGGGAGCACGAGAAGTAACTTTTAGTAATTTCACTTTTACTTTGGAACTTGTTCTAGACTCAGTCGCATCATTGACGCGCTATCGTTGTCATTTTTGTTCTACGATATGTTTTGCGCAATGTATGGTTCGAATTTCTCCTGATTTTCTCAAACTCGATTTCAGATTCAACATCAAACGTCTTCCAGCGGTCACACTGTCTCGCTTACCCAGCCACGATAACCCTATCAGAAAATCGATGTTGGATACGACAAGCCGTTTGAGCTTGGATGCATTAGAGAAGAACATTCGGTCAGCTTTTATTTCTCTGAAAATTCACTCTCTGTCTAGTTGATATACTGGATATACTGGATGAAACGGGATGTAATAGGGGGTGGAAAGCAGGGTTTTTCGTCGATTGGACCAATCGAGCCTGGAAGAATTCCACCGAGACCTTCGTGTCTATCATGAGAGGGGTCTGTTTATACGAGATTTGAGGAAGACGAAGGCGTCAGGGTCGTTAAAAATGCATGCCGATAGCACTAGGTGTCGTCGTGGCGGGGTTCATCAAAATGGCCCATATAGATGTGCTCTAGTGTGACCTTTCTACTTTTGAACCTTCAGGCAGGTCCGCTTGTTGATAGTTAGTGTTGTGGGCGGTCAAGACAACCTCAATTTGCCGCTCGGCCGCGCCCCGCGATGGGCGCGACGATTTTCCAGTTTGCGCTCGCTTATCGAATGAATCGTTAAACTTCATGTGAATTGAGACGTCGTAGGCATTTTTGATTAGACATTGTCTATTGTGGCAATCCACGGTCTCGAAACATCGTCATTTGCAGGCGCGACGTCGCACGCGACACCTACTAGCGCGGCGAATCACGATTGTCTTGTCACATACCTGCTAATGTTGGATAAGGCGCTGCTTGCAGCTGAGAGTGAATCTCCGAGCGGGAGTTGGGCAGATTCACAGGAGTGCACTGGTGGCACATTGTACGAAAAAAGACGACAGTAAATCTAGATAGCTTGATCCTCCTTTGTTTTTCTCCACCAGACGAGACTCAGTTACGCCATATAGTCAGTTTCTTAGATTTGTGGCCAGATACGGCTGGCCACAAGGCTAGGAGACTGACTATGTGGTGAGCCGCTGGTGTGGATGTGGCATTCAGATCGCTGTGGCGGTTCGAGACAAAACGGGTCTACGACGATCACAAACGCCTAACGTCATCGCATTGACAATTCAAACTTCTAAAGCTATGTAGTTGCTCACTTGAATACCATGATCCACTTGCCAGATAATGGGCAGTCCCCCTTTAAGTCCGACACAGAAAAATGAGATGAAAGCTCAAATTCAATATACTCAGAGAGACATGACTTCATTTTCGCCATCATACGACTTATTTCAGTACCATTGCCGAAGCTGTACTTGGCCATATGCTTTCATTGCCGGAAGGTGGTTACTCTACTGATCCTCGCGTGTCTGCCGATACTTCTGTATTGTCACGAGATGCTGTTGATCGGCAACGATTAGCTCACGCAATGCGACTTTTCGCCTCACGACCGCGACCAGTTGCAGATGAAGCGGCTACGGTCGCCTGTGCTGCCAATTTAGCAGTTGCTGTGGGAAATTATGCAAAGGTGAGAGAATTCTATTATTCTGTTCTCTGGGCTATAAGGCGCATTTCTTGGCAAAGAAGCAGCGATGCACGTGACAAGGCGCGCAAAATGTCACTAGACTTTTGTCTGTTTTGCATATTTCTATCTTCCATTTGGTTTGTGCACAACTTTCATTCATTTCATTGGATATAGATTATTACTATGGATAAGTGTGAACAAAACGCGCAAAAGTAGAGTAGCGAAGATGCGTCGTATACACAGGTGCGCCCTATACCCCAGGAAATAGGGTACATCTGGGGGTTGGCGACGTGAAGGGCGAGGGGAGGGGGTATTTCGCTCTTGTGCCTCTTCCCATCGACGTGTCGAGTCATATAGAAAGCTATTTCATGAACTTACACGAGATGACAGCTTCTGCCGGCTGGACGAGCTACTTCAGTTTCACAAGAGTTCACACGTTCCACAAAATAGTGCAGCGGCCGAAGTGCAAAATGCCCCCTCATCGCCAAACTGCGCCATATATCTATTTGAAAACCAACAAACTAATCTTGCAATGACTTCAGGTCACAGTATCACCTGTTTCAATGCATGAAGTACAAATATGGCCAGGGATTTCCGACCGCCTATTGGCAGAACGAGTGAAACCAGCTGTTTTTGATTTGATTATAGCGTGCGGTGTTTTCGGATACTTAGCATTATTTTACTATGTGAGTTAGATTTTCTTTTCCTTCCTTTAAGTCCTTTTTCTAAAATGGCAATTATCCCTTTTCTTTCAGGTGACCAGCAGGGCGCAACGGGCTCTCGAAGGTGCTATGTTCAGATTAAGAAAACGTGTATAATTAAGTTTAATTAACTAGTTAAGTTTTAATGTATCAGGAAAGTTCTGAGAGTGAATCCTTCATGGTTTCTCCCATTCGTTGACTTTAACGCGCTGAAATTTGTTTCTCTGAAAGTCCCAGGTAGTTATTGTTAGGTTTCGTTAAGGATGCTAGAGAAGCCTTACAAGTAGGCGAAAATTTGGAAATTTTCATCCCTCTTCAACAGCGCTCTTATCTAGAGAAACTTTGGAAAATGCCCAGTATTTACCATTTGAGTGGATTGTTTTGCTTTGTGTTGTAAAATGCGACAAAGCATGTGGAGTGCGTCTTTTACTGCACGAAGAAACGTGGTCAGGTATTGATTTGTTGTGCTGCGAGGTTGTCCAAACACAAATACTTTAATTTAACTTTATTTATTCTCACTTGTTTGTCTGTCACATTGTTCTGTTGAAGAGTCACGTTGATGTCAGTTCACAGTTTTAGTCGTAACGGAAAAATGACTGAATAAATTATTACAGCAACTTCCTATAAAGGAAAGTAAGGACTAGAGCATTCTTTTAAAAAGAGTACAAAGCCATCAACTGAGAACATTCGAGGGCAGGGTAGAGCATGGGTAGAGGAGTTCGCTTCTCCACGGTTGCTTCCGAGTCCATTTTCTTTGCGTTCTGCCTCCTGGTTCTTCATTCCCCCACTCATCTCCTCGGTTCTACAATGTTCCGTTAAGTAGAGCTGCAAAATGGGTATGTGACAGGACAACCGTGATATTCCGCGCCGAGCGGCGTTGCACT